GAAAGCATCCTCAATGGGAAATATTAGTATTTCACTTCATGTAATGCACTATACCCAACCACCTCATAAAATGTAGAGGTTTTATGAGCCTCAAAATTGAGGCTGGATGTGGATTTTGAACCTCAAAGTCTAGGAGTGAAATCCTGGTCCCATTGAAGTCAATGACAGAAAAACCATTGACTTCACTGTACCTAGAGTTTCATTCTAGGAGTGCTCTAATTTGGGCTTCAGTTCAGTACCTATAGTATTTAATCAAGTTCATGTTAAAAGTTTACCATACCAAGCTCCATTGTAATACATACCAAGCTCCATTGTAAAATAGTTCACCGATTCAGTCTATTGGCTGAAATTTTTCTGTAATTCCTTCCTCTTAACTTACTAACCATATAAAGCAAGAAAACTGATACTCAAGATACTAGTGTTTGAATATTGACTGCTCATTTTACTATAACGAGGTTAGAGAGAGAGAAGATGCAGTTGGGACAGCCTGAAATAATTAAGGCTCTAGTTATGTGTTAAGGGGAGAAAAAGACCAGCGTGACTGTCTTGTACCTTAAATAGGGGGGTGAGGCATATGTTAGACCTTTGTTTTTTCTTTCACACACAATCACTGAGATGAATTGGGTTTAAAAGCAATGAGAGTTATTAAAGCGAAATGGGGAGAAAAGGGTGATGGAGATTTGGGACAAGATGTTGTTCATCTTGGTTTTGTATGAGCACAACTGGAGTGATAGCTTGTTTTTAGGACACCAGGAGAAGACTTCAGCTTTGGAACAAAGCTGAGTTTTCACACTGAACACTTTCACACTTGGTTCACACATTCTATAGTTTTTGGTCAAGAATTGCCTGAAGGAAAACTTCTGCAAAAAAAAAAACAGCATTTCCTTCACCATAGTTAAATAATGAAGTTCTTAATTATGGAGTTATGGACTCTGCTGTTAGTTGCAAGACCGATAACATTGTAAGCCTGATGAAAACTTCTTTGTTCTCCCTCTCCTCTTGCCCCCCAACCCCATTCGGTCTCACCCCGATATCTCATTGAGATTGCTTTAAGCATCCAGGCTTAGTGTCTTGCAAAATGTATTAATTATGAAAACTGATACTCTTATTGATATAAATGTCCAGTCCCCTGTTAAAATTTGAACATTTTTGACCTCAACTTTTTGAGGCAATCAGTTTCAAAATCTAATCACAGGTTGTGTGAAAAGTTATTTCCTTAATTCAATTTTGAATTTGCTGTCTGATAGTGTCACTAAATGTCTACTTGTTCTTGTGTAATGAGACAGGGAGGACAGAAGTTCCCAATCTACCTTCTCTATTCCACGCATTATTTAATTTGTTTTATCATGTCCGCTTTTATTTCTATGGTAAACAATCCTAATATTTTTCCATGCCCTTGACCGTTCTCATCACAGTTCTCTGAACCCCTTTGCATTCTGTACTAGACCTTTCTTTAAGATGTGGTGGCCACTGTTTCAGGTGAGGCCACATAAATGATGTATATAATGATCTTATATAAAATCTTATTAGCGCCGTCCTATTCCTTAGGCATCCTGATATCATTTCCTTTTTTTAACCTTTAGTAGAGGTGTTCACTGAGCGGCCAACAATGACATCCGTGCCCCTTTCATGAGCAGATTAAGTCTATTTAGACCCTTGAGAGTTGTAAGAGTATTCTTGATTTTTTTTTCTATACAGTGTGCCTTTCTTTGCATTTATTGACATTGCATTCACCTGCCGTAATGCAGCCAAATAACCTAGTTTGTTTAGGTCCATGGGAAATTCCTCAGTGATTCTCACTAATCTATATAACTTTGTATGAACTGTAATTTTTTTTCCTCATTACTCACCTCTTTGCCTACTCCAGACTATTAACAAATATTTTAAACTCTTGGCCTTGGTATATAACCTTGGTGCACTCTACCGTTAACCTTTTGCCATGAGAAAAATCAGCCATTTAATTCTAGTTTTGACAGGTAACAGACTAGGAAACAAACCATGACAAAATTTACTTTCTCACCCTATGACCATGTGGACTTTCTGTGGTAACTTATGAGGG